ATTCAATAAAAGTTGTTTAAAACTTGAAAGTTATGAACTCTAATATAGTTTCCCAATTTTTTTAGACTCTTCTGTTGGACCATCTTTTCATTCATGATTTAACGGCTTACCCCTTGCCATTGGAGATCAGATAACTGTAAAGCAGCCAGAACAATTACAGGCAGTCCCCGGGTTACACGGATCCGACTTGCATCGGATCCCTACTTACAAACGGGGTGAGGCAACCCCGCACTAGCTGCTTCCCCCCAGCAGACCAGGGAGACGTGAAGCTAGTGCCCCTCCTCCCCCAGAACACCAGGGAGATGCGGAGCGGCTTTTCTCAGCAGACACCTCCCCCAGAACACCAGGGAGACGCGGAGCGGCTTTTCTCAGCAAACACCTCAGCTTGAGAATAAAGGACTGAGGGAAGTGAGGTGTGGGAGAATAAAACTGAGCTCTGGAGAAATGTTTGGCTAGAGTTTCCCCTACAATATGTACCAGTTCCGACTTACATACAAATTCAACTTAAGAACAAACCTACAGTCCCTATCTTGTACGTAACCCGGGGACTGCCTGTAGATACATGAAAAAAAAATGTGAGGAAAAGAATTTAGTGTTAACTTCTAATAAATTTAATAGTTGGAAACAAGAAGGTACGAGCACCATATTATTTATTAAGTCTTGGAAGATCATATTTGGGAACTTCTAATTGAACTCAAAATCTTCCTTTAAGTGATCATTGTTTGTATTTAGTCAAGCTATGCTATAGATGTTTGACAACTGAAACAGTAACTTAATATGTTTTTCAGTTATGCACAAGTTTCTTCAGTGGAAACTGCCAGGTAAGTCATTTACAACTCTCTTCTATGTTTTCCAAGTAAAAGTTCTTTACATTAATGATTTGATGAACACTAATGATTGTTACGTTGATTTACAGTGAATATTGCTAATCTTCTAACAACATTTTAGCATAAGTCATTAAAGAAATCCATCGCTTCCACTAGATCCGTGTTTAATCTGGTTGCCAAATCTATTAATTGCACAACTGTTCCTGTTAGCTACTTTAAATAACTGGTTTATTAAGCAATAAGACATGCTAAACTGTGTGTTTTAAAATGTTTAACACCTTGGGCTATATTATGAGGTACAAAGCCAAAATTACTTTAACAAACCTAAAGCAATAACTGCTGTACAGTGCATTACATAGAGTTCAGTATTACATTAAATTCCATTTCATAATAATATTTTTCCTCCCCAATAAAAGCTATTTTTAGAGCTGCAAGATGCTTCTCACGAAGCAAGTATTTTTATAACTTCATTACAATGCATTCTTATAACTTTTTGAGATGTGGGAATGACTTGCAACTTTGCAGGTAGCTAGTACTTGATGAAGATGAGTAGTTATTTCAATTTTTGAACCTCATGATACAAATTTAGAAACAAAAGAGTTTTGCTCAGGTACCGTAAAACGTAACAGTGCTTTTAATTTGGGTAAGTTTCTAACCATTTGGTTGAATTAGGAAATATGCCATTTTTAGATTTCATATATTAACTGTGACTAGAAAGCAAAATTGTCGTCATTATGAAATTTTTCTATTTTTTAAATGACAATTTCAATTGAAATGTCATGCTTAGCTGGTAAGATAACTACACTCTTATCTAAATACTATGAGGGAAATATAAAGCAGTGTTTTTTCTTGTTAGTATCAAAAGCTAAAGTTTCGAGGCTGGATTTGGCTCAACAAAGCTTTGGAGCTGTCCCACCACAATAGTTTGGGCTGCCAATATCCCACGACCCAGCAAGAACCTTGGACAGCCTCCTCTCAAAGCGGTCAACTGCTGAGGCCAGCCTATGCGTCTTCATGATGTCCTCCCTCCCTATGGTGGGGGGCCTCTGCGGGCTGCCCCCAATACAATCCTCACAGCTCCCATTGGCTGGAAACTGGCCAATGGGAGGTGCCTGGGCCCTGGTTCCAGGATTTTCTACCATTAATTCATCACACATGCTGTCTTGCAGTGAAATCACTTTAAAATGACTCTTTGGGCTCGTCTACACTGGCCCCTTTTCCGGAAGGGGCATGTAAATTTCATTAGTCGTAGTAGGGAAATGCGCGGGGGATTTAAATATCCCCCGCGGCATTTAAATAAAAATGATCGCCGCTTTCTTCCGGCTTTTAAAAAAGCCGGAAAAGAGCGTCTACACTGGCCCCGATCCTCCGGAAAAAGCGCCCTTTTCCGGAGGCTCTTATTCCTACTTTGGAAAATCCTCTCAGATTTCCCTTACTATGGTTATATATATATATAGGAAGTTTAGCGTCTTAGAGTTCGAGTTGCAATTAATCTAAGTATAGTGCTGGAGAAGTATTAAAAGAAACAAAGCTTATTGTTCCAAGAAGTTCTTTTTTGCTTAGGGATGGTGAAGAACCAAAGACAAGGTGGGAAGAAATCGCCAATTAGTCTCTTTTCTTAAAACTTATACTTACTGAGAGTGAATTGCATTATCGGTGCATACTAAATACAGTCATGTTGAATTTTAGTTTGTTCTTCTACTCCTGAAATAAAAAGATAAGTTGTGGTGCTTTAAGAAAGTATAATAGGAGATAAAATAACATGGAGCAGCAGTTTGGGTATCATGTATGGAGGATTTTAGTTTAGAACAGGGGTGGAAAACCTTTCTCCTATTGAGGTTATAGACCTTCCAGAGAAAAATTATGAGACACATAGTCTTTCAGGGGAGTGCACGGAGACTTGGGCCAAAAATGGAGGATTCAGAGTGCAGGAGGGAACTCAAGGGTGGGGCAGAGAGTTAGGGTGTTGGAAGGGGAGGAGGGCTCCGGCTGGGAGTGGGGCTGGAGATGAGGGGTTTGAGGTGTAGGAGGGAGCTGCAGCAGGAGGTTGGAGTTCTGGATGAGAGGGTGCTGGGCATGGGGTACAGGCTCTGGCAGGGGGGATTGCCATGAAATGGCCTCTGTCACTCACTGCAGATAGAGGCTGGTCTGCAGCAGCAGTCCCATGTCTGGGTGGTGTCTAAGCTAAGGATGATAGGTATCAGGTAATTGACTAATCAAATACTCTATGCATTTTGCATCGACTATTCAATCAAAGCGGTCAACTGCTGAGGCCAGCCTATGCGTCTTCATGATGTCCTCCCTCCCTATGGTGGGGGGCCTCTGCGGGCTGCCCCCAATACAATCCTCACAGCTCCCATTGTATTATGCATCGACTATTCAGTTAGTCGATAGGGTGCCTCCACCTAGGGCTGTTGCTACACTTCAAAGGTGAAAGCACTGCAAGGAGCACGGGGTCATCCTGGGCTCCATGTGGCGCTGCTGCTTTGAAATTCCCCCTTTTGTCCCCGTCCCCCCCCTTGCTGCCTCTATCTGATAGTTGACTAGTCCTTCACATCCCTAGTCACAGACTACTCCTTGTTTTGAAAGTTACAGACTAACACGGCGACCTCTCAGAGACTTTTAGCTCAGACCCCAGTGGACAGGGCTACTGCCACCTTGCACTTAACAGGCAGCTGGCCTGTGTGGGGAACTGATTTTTAGACTTGCTCCCTGGGTGGACTGGTTCCCGCATGCCACCCTACGCTGCTGCCTCTCTTACAGAGCTAGCAGCACAGGGTGGCAGAGGGCTCCCCTGGAGTGAGTCTGTGAGTGCACTGGCTGCTGCTTCCCCCTCCCCTCCTCCAGGGACTATAAAATAGTGTAATGGCTAAGATTTCATGTGGTTACACCACCATTCAATTACACAATATCTAACTTCCCTAGCTATCGTAGAAAAGTTTGGCTGGACGCTATTGTGTTTCCCGACAAGGTTCAGCCTGGGAGAGAATCTCTTGAAATTTTTTAAGGAAATGTGTTGCTGCTTGTTAGTAAACTGTAATATCCAAAATCTACATCAGATCGAAAAAGCAGATGTCCTAATAATAGGTGGCAAAGCAGTAGATGGTTGAACCGTTTGCAAGTGGGAACCTTATGAGAGATGCTGATATGACTCTCTCTCACTTTTAGTTCTTGCAGAACTAAAAAAAAAAGTGCACCTGCACTCACTTACGCAGGTAAAGAAATGTTTTACCTTTGTATTGATAGTATTTTATCTCCCTGATCTAAATTGTGGAATGACTTTTGTCCAAATATTGATCCTACAAAAATGCTACAAGTTTATGAAAGCTTCAATCAGCTGATGTTAATTAAAAAATACACAGGTGATTTTTTTTCCCCCCATTGAAGCAATGTTTGCATTCCTCTTGAGGGTTCCAAAACACGATCAGTGAATGTGCAAGAGGAGATGTAATTTATAAAGATAAGAAAATATTCACAGACATGTTAAATAATTTAAATAACTCTAGTCTACAGTTCATCAACATAGTCAAATAATGGTTATAAAGTTATAATAAATTATGTATTAGATATGAAGGATAAAAGCTTCAACAGTCAATATGTCATATACGTAAATCACCTTTGACAAAATCACAGACCTCAAAGGTGAATACAAATCCTGGTGGGGGGAGGGGGGAAACGTAATTTAGTTTCTCTTTTTCTCTCTCTCTCTCTCTAGCATGTGAGAGGAGATAAGATGAATGTGTTTTAGTACTGAGGTCTTTTTTTTTCCTTTTAACTATCAAGGATACACTTCCTTGAATGCTTACTTTTTAATAAATAAAAAACTAGTAGTTTCTTCAGGTAAGACTGTATCTTCAACATTCTGATTAACTTATGAAATCAGAATGACAAGAAATCTTTAGATGAGATGTACAAGAACCTCCTGTCTTTCTTAACTAGCATTGATATTAGCAAGAAACAAAGATGTATGAAAATCTAATGTAAAATTAAATTATATATCAATTTTCTTACGAATATGTGAGAAGTATAGAACATCAAAAATGTTGCCATGAGTTTTTAAATATGACTTAAGATTTATTTACAATTGTAGATTCTAAAGAAACAATAGCAAAATCATAAAGATGGTCTAATGGGAGTTCATAAGAAGCTTAGAAATATTACCAGGATGACTTAAATTAGTATTTGAATTCACTTGCCTAGAAACCTTATTTAGTGAAATTTGAACAAAACTAGGTGATTGGTCCAAATCTGCTCAAGATAGTTAAGTTCAAAGCACACAGTGAAGAGCTTCAAAAGGATCTCACAAAACTAGGTGATTGGGCAACATAATTGTAGACTAATTTTAATGTTGATAAATGCAAATAATTCATACTGGGAAACAATCTCAACTATATATATATCAAATGATGGGGAAATTTATCTGTTACCACTAAATTATCTGTTACCACTCGAGAGAGATCTTGGAGTCATTGCGGATAGTTCTTTAAAAACATCCAGTCTGTGCAGCAGTAGTCAAAAAAGCAAACCATGTTAGCAGTTATTAAGAAAGGGATAAATAGAGAGTAAGACATAGAATATCTTAATGCCCCTATACAAATCCATGACCTGTTCATCTTGAATACAGCATGCAGATGTGATCACTTCATCTCAAAGAAGACATCTTGGCCATTGGAAAGCTCAGAAAGGGTCAACAAAAAATTAAGGATATGGAATGGCTATCATGAAGCCTGGGACTTTTTTCAGTTTTAAAAAAGACATAAAATCATGACTGGTGAGGAGAAAGGGAATAAAGAAGAGTTTACTCCTTCCCATAACACAAGACCCAGGGGTCACCAACTGAAATTAATAGGTAGTAGGTTTAAAACAAACAAAAGGAAGTACTTCTTCACACAATGCAGTCAACTTGTGGAATTCCTTGCCATAGGATGTTGTGAAGTCCAAGACTATAACAGGGTTTAAAAAAAAGCTAAATAAATTAATGGAGGATATGTGCATCAATGACTGTTAGGCAGGATGGGTAGGAATAGTGTCCTTAAGTTTCTGTTTGTGAGAAGCTGGGAATACATAAAGAGTGGATTAATGATTACTTTGTCTGTTTCATTCCTTCTGGGGCACCAGCATTGGCCACGGTCAGAGGACAGAACGTTAGACTAGATGGACCTTTGGTCAGACCCAGTATGGCCGTTGTTATACAATATGTTGTATGGCTTTGCAAAATTATCAGGAGTCTCAAGTTTTCAATGTAACATTTTTCCTCAATACTCATTTTAGCAATTCATGCTCCTGATCAGTTTTATCTGTAAAATTGAAGTGTATTGCATTAGTAATTTTTGATGAAATAGCATTTAAACTTGAATCATGTGATGTAAATGCTGTTTTCAATTATAGAAAGGCTGTAATGATTCTAGACTAGTCTTAAAACCATCAGTAGTTAGAGATTTTGAGTTGATTATACCACCTCTAACCGATGAAATGAAAGGGACTGCAAAGACTGAGAATAATTCTGTTCTGTTTCTAGCTATTGAATAAGTAGTTTTAAAATCTTCTATATAATGCTTCCCTCCTTTACACTATTGTTGCTGTCCAGGGGGGTATCTTAGGGGAAAAGGTGGTGAAAGTTTGTCTTGTAAAGTAAGATGTTGAGATAAAACTGCAATGATGGCAATAAGGGGAGAAGGAGGAACAAAAAGAGCAATATGAAATTTTTCAGTTGGCTTTGCTGAACTAATTCCAAGAAATCACCACCATCACAGAAGGAGATTTTGTATTTGGTATCACTTATTTACTGAATTAAATCAATAGCAAGAAGAACAGGGAAAAGAGCAAGGGAACTGACATGATTAAGAAAGTTGTCTCCAGATTCCCCATGCAGTGCTAGTGTCAGGTATCTTTCCCAGGAGCATATATATGACCAATTGCAAGTAGCTCATTCTTTCATCTCCCTTTTAATGTCTCCGTTCTGTAGGCTAAACTCTGCTCTTCTGTCTGAGCCAGGTTCAATAAGGAAAGCAAGGTGTGACCTGAGGGCTGGACTGTGGCTGTGGGAGAAGAATTTTATTGTTAAACACAAGGATAACTTTCGATGTGTTAGAATCTTCTGTAGAACACCAGAAATTGGCATGCACCTTTGGTGCTTCAGAAATATAGCTGTTACAACTTCACATTAAAACTGACAGATCAAAAATGTTTAAATATATTCTTCTGATATACTGTGCACCTTTCAGGATTGGGACATGGCATCATGGGCAGCCACATAGAAAAGAACTGACTTTATCTAGCAAAAGCATAATGGTCCCCAGGTCAAATGTCCCCCTCTACTTCATATCATTCTTCTCTGGCTTTCCTTCATCTACCAACTCAGTTTTGATGCTCTCATCTTTTCTTGAGTTCTCTGTATAAAGTAGGAATGTAATATCACGTTTACTTGGTTAACTGGTTAAATTTAAATTTAACCAGTTACGCAATTAAAGGGGGGCAGGTGGCTTGGCTAGAGTGTCCCTGCCCACAGCTTACCCTGCAGGGTTGGAACTGCCTGAAGAAGGCAGGGAACTGCTCCATCCCCCACCGTATAACCATTCATGTCCCTCGTTGATTAGTCAATTATCCGATGAGCATATGCTTATTGAGTAGTCAAGTAGTGACTCGACTAGTCGCACCCACACCCCCTTGCTTCCTCTGTCAGAGAGACGGGGGCACTGCATTGAGGACCACTGATCTAGTGCTTTGTCAGTATGTGTTTTCTCAAATGTTTTAAAATGTCTTGTCCACAGCTCTTCTCATCTAATCCCCTATATCAAAGATAGAAGGTTCTGGCTCACCAGGAGTCCATATTAGCTATTGAGACCCGATTGAGGATGGAAGGTGTTGAATTTAAGGAAGAGTGGCAAGATGAAGATTTTCCAAGGTGAGAGACTGTTTGTCATTTCAATCACTCCCCTCCAGAAACAAAGGCTATCAACTGCAATATGCTTTGCACTTCAACCTGGGTCAGCAAGGCATTCATCTAGCCTCCTACAGCATATAAACATAAATATGTTTCTTGGGAAATATAGTCCACTCGCCCCTATGTCTGATGTTAATCTCTAATGTGAACTATTCACTCTGACTAGCAACATATTTTTTTTAGAACTGATTCTACTATAGTGTGGCTTAAAGGGTTTCAGAACTTAGGTCATGTATACACTCTAGGAAAAATAGACACTGCCAGCTTGATTTACCAGGTCTAATTAAGACTTATTAAATCAAACTCAAAGGGCACCCCCATCAACTGCTGCTGCTCCTGCGAGGAGTAAGGGAAGCTGACAAGTGCATTTGTCCCTTCGCTCTCCTTCTGTAGAGATGGCAGGGATACTCAAATCAAGGTACATTGACTCTAGATATGTAACTAGCATAGCTAGAGTTGCATATTTTGATTTGACCTTCCCCTTTAGTATAGTCCTAGCCTTAATGTATGAACTTGTCTCTTAGTGAGTATGGAAGGGCTCTTAGCCTTAGCAACTTGTAAGTAAGGAGAAATGTTAGTCTGTGAACTTCGCACACTCATGCAATGAGAACTATAACTAAAAGCTTTAAGGTAACTTTGCATAATTCTGAAGTGTTACATATTCTTACTAATGCTTTCAAAGATGAAAATGCCCAGTTCAAATGCATTGGTTGACAATTAAGTTGAAAATCAATTTTGGGATATTTATACTTTCAAGCTTTTGAAAATTCATTAAACGCTTCCAAAACACCCCAGAAAAACACCTGCATAAATTGTGCAGGAAGGAAGAAAGACTTCAGTATAAATCAGGTCAAACTTTGAGTTTGATCCTGGATATGGTAATAGAACTTCATTTGAAGCTTTCAGCTGTGCTTCAGAGTAAGTCAGTACATTTTTGTGAAATGTGTACTGTAAATATTTAAAGCTGCCAAGAAGGAAAAATGTATGCAGTGTTTGTTATAAACCTGTTATCTAAACTTCATCCAACTTGGCTCCTTTCCCTTTAATTGCTTTAGTACAGACTTGGCCTAAGACTTAAGGAAATCTTGTATTTCACTGAAGCTTCCAATTTTGTGTCTCATGTTTTTAGTAGTTGTGATTCAACTATTAAGTTAACACTTTCTGCATTATCTTAGTGTATTTTTTAAATTGCTTTTATGGAAACTAGAACTTTATGCAGTTTTAACAGGATATAAGATTTATAAAGCACCATCTACCTAAACTATTTGGCTCTGAGACACCTTTTGTGCTTTATAATAAAACTAGCAGATGTACTCGTTGTTGCTTGAGTCTTTAATTTAAATAATTTGGGGGAGAAGAGGAATAAATGAAAAATAATACATTTCAATCTTTGAATTTTTAGAAATGAAGGCTGGAGTGAAGTTTTGGGGTGAGGCAGGGCAGGAGTGGGTGTTTTAGAGCAGAAAGAGGGGGTGCAGATGTTAAGGCAGGTTGGAGGTGCAGGACTTAGCGCAGGGGGCTCAGGACAGAGGGCTGGGAGGTGGAGGGGGAGTTTACCGGGGCCACCCATGATGGTGAGGGTGGCGTTGCAAGGGTAGGGTTTTCTCCCAGGTAGCCAGGGCAGCACTTACCTGATAGCGAGGTCTCCCGAATTGCTCCCCCACCCTCCATGGCCTGCAGGCTGTCTAGAGAGGAGCCAGGCTCCAGGAGCTGCTCCTCTGTAACCCTGCCTCTCCCTTCTCCCCCCTCCCCCATGGCCTGTGGGCTCTTCATGGGATGGGGGGGAGAGCAGGCTCCAGGTTTGGGGCAGGGGGGCAACTTACTCAGTCTGGAGACAGGCAAGATGGAGGAGCCCCAGCCCTGCTGGCCCCTCTTTTGGTACCACAGGTACCCCCAGTAGCCATTCTCAGTATTGCATCCCTATTCTGTGCCCCTCCCTTTTTGCATTCCTCCTCTTCCTGCCCCCTCCATTTCCATTTTATGGAAAACAGTCCGATTCCTAGCACTTCCTGTTTTCTGAGCACAACCATACCTTGGCCTTGGTTTAAGTTAGGGTAAGAAGAACTGCATACCAAATTTGGTGATCCTAGCTCTTACAGTTTAGGAGATCTTGAACAAACCAACTCACAGACAGACAGATGCACTCAGATAGGTAGATAGAAGTTATGTTTACTTTTCTGATTTTGCTTAACTTCTAAAACATCATATTTTAATTATAAGAATATGAACAATTCAGGGCTTACATTAATAACAGGCAGTAACTACTGGTTTGGGATTTTATGTCTGTTAAGGCTCATGTGAAAACTGCAAATCACTGTTCAGCCATGGTAATGCTCTGCTTGACTGATAGCTTGGATTAGACCACAAACATGTTCAATCTGATTCTAAACCCACAAGTTTGTTTGTTTGTTTATATAAAGTATATCTGTATGTGTGTTGGTCTAAACTTTATAAATTCGGGATGTTTCACTGAATTCTTTGCAAGTGTTTCTTGCAATAAGTGTCTCTTTCTGGACCAGGCCCCTACCAGAGGATGATAATGTTGAAGCAGATATACTAGCTGCAACTGGACATCAAGGTCAGCATGGTAAGAATCTCTTAACAGAGTAGAAAGTCTTGCGTAAGCAGTGCTTGAACTCTCATATTTGTGTTTGATGAATAAAATCTAAGTTTTTAGTCTAGATCAGGGTTTCCCAGCCTGTGGGTCGGGATCCAAATATGGGTCGCCATTACATTTCAAAAGGGTCGCCAAGTGGCTCCGCCGGTGGCTCTGCCCCTCCGCCTCCCCCTGTTTTTGAATTGCCTTGGGTCACCAAGTCTTCTTGAATTGTCAAAATGGATCCCCGTCTGGAAAATATGGGAACTGCTGGAGATGTCTGGGTTTACTATAATACATATTGGGCCTAGAAGGTGTTGTCTTCACTTCCACGGTAAACTCAGAGCTCAGTTAATACCCACTGAAAATGAATTATTCCATTCAGATCAGTGGTGGGCAACCTGCAGGCCACATATATGGCCCATTCTGCCTGCAGCCCGTGCACCTCCACTCCGCCCTCTTCCCCTGTGCCTCTTGCAAACTGGAGCCCTGCATGTACTTACTCCTTCCCCCTTCCTCCCAGCACTTTTGGAGCACCATGAATCATTTGATTCGCTCTCCATCCCTGCTCCTTTCCCACCCTCCCTGAGCTTGAGTGTCACAGATCAGCTGATTCACAGGGTTCAAGCCAAGGAGGGAGGAGGAGGAGCAGGGACAGAGCATGAATCAGGTGATTCATGGTGCTCCAAAAGTGCTTAGGGAC